ATTTTGTGCATGGGGTGGGAAAGGGACCAGGTTCGCTTTTATCCACACTGACAGCCCGTGTTCTAGCAGCGATTGTTAAACAGACTTTCCTGAGCCCACCTGACGGACGTGGCCCCTTGCCCTTGACCGTCCTTGCAGGCCCGCCCAGGCCTCTCCCTCCTGGGGCACTGCCTCCACCCAGCCCCGGATTGCCACCCACACTGCTGCTTCATGGTCAGTCTTGAAAGCAAGTCGTGCCAGTCTTCCGATTCTGCTCTCCCTTTTAAAGATTGTTTTTCTTATCCTAGATCCCGTGAACTTCCATGGAATTTAGAATCACCTTGTCTATCTCTTCAGAACAGCTCGTCAGAATTTTGACAGGAATTGCAATAAATCTATGCATCAAGTTAAGGACAATGGAAATTACCAAAATATAAATTCCTATTCGTGAATGTTAATTTGGGTCTTTTAAAATCATATTCAGCAATGTTTTAGTGCAGAGGACTTACATACCTTTCGTTACACATATTCCTGGGTCTTTGACAGTTTTGACCCTGTCGTAAATGGTATTTTAAAAATTTTATTTCCAATTATTTATTCTTAATGTATACAAGTACAGTTAACTTTTCTCTGTTCACCTGTCTTCTAACCTTGCCAAATTCACAAAGTCTGGCAGTTTCTTTGTGGATTCCTTGGGGTTTTCTATGTAGATATGTAATTTGTCTGTGAATATGACAGTGCCACTTCTTTTCCAGTCTCCGTGCCTTCTACTTATTTTTCCTGCCTCGCTGCACAGGTGAGGTCCCTCTGTAATACTTGGCTTATGATGGGCACCTCAGATCCCAATCCCACCGAGGGTCCCGTGGTCAGGGGCTCCTTCCCCACTGCGGCCCAGTTTCATGACAGATGTTCGGAAAGGTGAGTGGTTCTCTGCTGCAGATGGAGCAGGCTTGCACGTCGGGGCTTCCGGAGATGCTGTGTGGTGTCCCCCTCTCCCAGGGCTACCGTCATGAGCCATGTTTGTATGGTGGCACAAACCTGCCAAAGAACCCGCCTGCACTCTGGCCCCACTCAGAACTAACAGGCTCTGAGTCACCCGATGCACGGACATTCCAAGTGAGGTGCATGCTATCTGCAAAAGCCAGCAGGGCCCATGTCGCACTGCCCTTATTCATCATGGTAGGTGGGGCACGGTATAAAAATTCCTGCTATTCCTTAGAAGCAATGTCTTGGCATGCCCAGACCACTGAGGCTCTCAAACCTTCAGCTACAACACAGACACTGAGATGGTGATATTTGCCTCCCACCCTTTGGAATAAAAGCATCTTACGAGGCATCCAAAACACTTGCCAGTCAATGCTCCTCAGGTCTTATCACCATGATGTCATCAATATCGTGAGCCAGCAAGATAGTCGGCCGGACCCGTCCAGGTGATGAAGGCCCATGAGGCCTATATCGTGACCAGAGCCAGCGGGTCAACCTCAGCCTGGGGCAAGACCATGACCTCACGTCGTTGCCTCTTCCAAGTGAACACAAATTGTTTCTAACTCCCTCTCCCGTGGGGCTTGGAAGGCACGCATTCCGCAGATGGGCTGCCATGTAGCGCCGTCCACAGCCTGTGCCAGCCTCTTCCACTAAGTCTGTAACACCCCGCAGTGCACCTTGGTGACAGGCTACTGCTTGGTTCAGTTTCTGGGATCTGCTGTCATTCACCACGACCCCATTGATTCAAAACATTTTAAATGTATTGTATTTTTGAAGACTTTATTTTTGGAGGCAGTTTTAGATACCTAGCAAAATTGAGAGGAAGTTATAGAGATCTCCCATAGACCCCCCCTGCCCCCACACGTGCATAGCCTCCCCCGTGACCAACATCCCTCAGCAGACGGTACATGTGTTATAACTGATGAACCCACATCGATACATCATCATCACCCCAAATCCATCGTTCACATTAGGGCTCACTCTTGGTGTCATGCACTCTACGGGTTTGGACAAATGTGTAATGACATGTATCCATCCGTATGGCATCATGCGGAGTATTTCCACTGCCCTAAAATTCCTCCGTGCTTCACTTGTTCACCCCTCCCTCCTCACCCCTGGCAACCACTGATCTTTCTACTGTCTCTGTAATTTTGTCTTTTCCAGAATGTCAGAGTTGGAATTCTACAGAAAGTCGCCTTCTCAAATTGGCATCTTTCACTTAGTAATAAGCATTTGAGTACCTCCACGTCTTTTCATGGGTCGACAGCACATTTCTTTTTAGCGCTGAATAATATCCCAGTGTCTGGATGGACCAGCTCATTTATCCATTCACCTACTGAAGGACATCTTAGCTGCTTCCAAGTTTGAGTGATTATTTATTAACATAGCTGCTATAAATATTCATTGCAGGTTTTGTGCAAACATGAGTTTTCAGCTCCTTTGGGTAAATACCAAGGAATGCAATTGCTGGATCACATGCTAAAAGTGAGTTTAGTTTTGTGAGAAACCATCAAACTGCCTTCCAAGTGGCTGCCATTTTGCATTCCCACCAGCAATGAACGAGAGTTCCGGCTGCCCCACATCCTTGCCAGCATTTGATGTCATCAGTGCTCCAGACTTTGGCCACTGTCAGCCTGTAGAGGTTTCTCGTTGTCATTTTCGTTTGCATGTCCCCGATGACGTATGATGTGGAGCATCTTTTCATGTGTTTCTTTGCCATCTGTATATCCTCTTTGGCAAGGTGTGAGCTAAGATCTTTGGCCCATTTTTAAATCAGGTTGTTTGCTTTCTTGTTGTGTTTAAAAAAATTTTTTAAATATATATTCTGGATAGCAATCATTTGTCAGATGTGTCTCTTGCAAATATTTTCTCCCAGTCTGTGTCTTGTCTTACTCTCTTGACATCATCTTTCGGAGAGCAGGAGATTTTAATTTCAGTGAAGTTCAGCTGACTGAGTCTTTCTCTCATGGACCGTGCCTCTGGTGTTGTAACTAAAACGTCATCACCACACCCAAGGTCATCTAGGTGTTCTCCTATGTTATCTTCCAGGAATTTTATAGATTTTTGCTTTATATTTATGTCTATGATCCATTTTCAGTTAATCTTTGAGAAGGGTGTACAGTCTGTGTCTAGATTCATCGTTTTGCGTGTGCATGTCTGGTTCTTCCAACACTATTTGTTGCAAAGACTATTTTTGCCCCATTGTATTGCTGTTGCTCCTCTGTCAGAGATCAATTGGTTATATTTGTATGGGTCTATTCCACTGATCTATTTGTCTGTTGTTTTACTAATATGACACTGTCACGATGACTGTAGTTTTATAGGAAGTCTTGAAGTCGGGTACTGTCAGTCCTCCAACTCTGTTCTCCTCCTTCAGTATCACGTTGGCTATTCTGAGAGAGTCTTTTGTCTCTCTCTATAACTTTAGAATCAGTTTGTCAATATCCACAAAATAGCTTACTGGAATTGGGATTGCCTTGAACGTATAGGGCAAGTTGGGGAGAACTGACATCTTGACATATCTATGTACATGGAATATCCATTTATTTACCTCTTCTTTGATTTTGTTCATCAGAATTTTGTAGTTTTCCTCAGATAGATGTTTTACATATTTTGTTGGATTATACCTAAGTATCTCATTTTTGATTCATCTGATTTTTGCTAAGGTCATACTGGTGAATTAGGGTCTTGAGGGGTGATGCTAAGTTCTGTTATTGTCCCTGGGATACAGTATGTTTTGCTAGACTATTTTGGCCATGAGAAAAGAAGTGCTTTTGAAGTCTTCCCCATGGCCTTTCCTATCATTAAGGCTCTTACACCTGCTAAGAACAGACGTCCTGATACATACTCAGATACTGAGGAAATGATCGCAGGGTAGGCCTGGACAATTTGTACCCACTGTGAATCAGATTGGACCAAGGTTCTGTGTTCTGCAAGCCTCCACCCTAATGGCATTTTGTGTCCCCCTGTGTTAGGGTCAGCTCAGGCCCTGAATCCCATAGCCTTCCAAGGATCTTGCATTTCCACTCCTCCGTGTGTGGCTATTCTGGCCTATGGCCATAAGAAACTTAAGAGGTTGGGGAACATGCTGCTACGTGCACTTGCCATGGGATTGCAGGCCCCTTTCCAGGAGCCAGGGTGTGGGCTGCAACTCAGAAGCTGAGGAATGAATGTCACTGAGAGGCAAAGAGGGTGGAAAGAAGAAAATGTCTCCTAGGCTGGGCCACGTGAAGGTCACTGGGCCTCTCACGTGAGAGCTCAGCGGGGAAGGGGCTGCAGGCTGGCTGTCACGGGCTGATGAGAGAATGTGGAGTGGGGAAATGGAGCCGTAAGGACAGATGGAGGGGTGGTGTCAGATGCCGGGAGACGCCACCTTACACGGGAGAGGGGGTACCACCACGGTGACGGGACTGGCACCGGGTTGGCAGAGGGAGCTGCAGGTGTCCCCTCTGTCGGCTTCAGTTTCCTCTATGAACTAGAAGGTGGGGACACTTGGGAAGAGGGTGGTCATTTGCAGGGAATGGAGAAAGCTGGAAATTGTCTGCACACTAGCTTCTTTTACTTCGGTTTCCCGGGGAAATATTCTCCACGTAGATACACAGAAAGTGCTAGGTACCAACCCCACTGTGTATGTCTAGTGTGTTAATTTATTCAAGGTCGGATATATAGTATTTCATTGCCACAGAGTAGCATGTGACACAGGTGGGGACGAGCTGTTGAGCTCCAGGTCTCATGCAGACGCCTGGTTTTGCGAGTCTGATGAAATCACACTGAATGGATCAACGCACATCTGGTGAAACACAAGGCAACTTCATCCCAGGTCCTCGGGGGATCAGGCAGCGACTCCCGGAGGCCTGCTGCCCAGCACGCTCAGACTCCCATGAGGCCATCCCTGGACAGTCTGAGGTGGTCCCTGTGGACATCTCTACCCCCCACCACCTGCCTCAAGGTGAAGCCCATTCTCTTCTCCAAATGGCCTCCGTGGGGCCTTTGCAGCCAGGCCGTGGGCGGTCGACTGAGAGTCAGGGGAAGGCAGCTCAGCGTTCCTCACTGTCCAGAGTCTTGGTCTTCCAGAAGATGCTCTGCATGGCCGAGATCCGGTCCTTATCCTGGATGTTGAAGACCTGGAACTGCAGATGGGGTGGGGCGCAGAGGGGTCACGGAGCTGTCTGGGCGCCATCACAGGGCCCTGGACACTGTGTGGGACAACACGTGCCCCTTGACCGCCAGCAGTTCCTGCCTCTGGGTCCCTGCCTGCACAGTCCTCCCCAGGTGTGGACCCACCCAGAGCCCTCTCCTCCAGGGGCCCCTCTTCACACGCAGGTGTCTTCCCCAGACGGGCCTGACACAGAGGAGGCCCACCAGGTGCTTGGGGAGGGCTGGGCGTGTATCATCCCTCTTGCTTTCATCGTTCCAGCCCCCGCGTGCCCCGGAAGGAGACCGTGTTGGCTCTTCGGGTGAGGGTGGGGTCGGCCCTGGGGGAAAGGAGCAGGAGCAGGCTCGGTGCGAGCAGGGGAGGAGAGGGCTTAACAGAGCTGGCAGAGCACTGGGGGCTCAAGGAGGGCCAGTTGGCAGAGCAGTCAGGCAACCCCTGAATAGGCCACAGCACGCAGACTCCTAAGGACGCGGCACAGGACGCCTGAGTCCAGGGAGGCAGCAGGAAACTGTCCCTGCGAGGCCCGGGGATAGCCACACCCCTTCATGAGGAACAGAGTCCCAGGGTAGGCAGGTGGGGTTTGAACCCTTGTCATGTGTGGCTTTGGGGGCGGTTCTGGTGGGTAACAGAGGCTGGCTCAGACCCGCCACCCTGGCTTCCCGGGGCACTAGCGGGCAAGGGGCACTCGTGGCCCATCTGACCTCCAGATGTTCCACCTTCCCCCGGCCTGCCCAGGCTTCCTTCAGCTCCTGACCCTGGGGGAGTAGGTCAGGGCTCCGTCCCCACAGGCATGCCCCCCTGGGCCCGACTGAGACACCCCTCAGCCGGCCATGCCCACCTTGTCCAGCAGGACGTCAAAGTAGGCCGTGGCCCAGTAGGCCGGGTTGCTAGCGGGCAGCTGCAGAAGCGCCTTGACCCCGTGGCCGATGCGTGGGGGGGGGCTGCGGCCCAGGTGGGTGACGTGGATGCGCAGGGAGGCCTCCGGCTGGCTGGCAAAGTGCTCCACACGCTGGTACAGGGAGTTGAGGTCCAGGCCGGCGTCCTGAAGCAGGTTCCACTCGGGGTAGAGGAAGTGCGGCAGGTTCCTGGTGGCCAGACAGCAGAGCAGGACCACCAGCAGCCGGTACACGGCGCCCTGCAGCTCTGCCCAGTCCTCCGCCTCCGGGAAGAGCACCGAGGCCCACAGCAACACGGTCTGCGGCAGGACGGTGCGGTCAGGCCCCCGGCCCCCCTGCTGCCGTCCACCTGCCCCACCTGGCTTCCCGCCGCCCTCACACCCGGCCCCTCGTCAAAGGCGTCACCCTCGGAAGGCCCTGTCCCACCAGCACCCCTCCCCCACACTTCATGCCTCCCCTGGATGTCCCAGTGTCTCAGCTCCTCCCCACCCGCTGCCTCCCTCCTGGCACCTCCCCGACTGCCCGAGGCACTGCCACTGAGTCCGGGCTCAGAGGGACCCTGCCCCCACCCAGCCTCCCACCCCACGACCCCCCTCAGGAGATTCTGAGGCTTCTACGCCTTCTCTGGTCCCTTGCCTCATGCCCCCACTCCCCACCGATGATCTCCTACTGTGCACTGCAGCCTGACCCAAAGAGCCCTACCCCGGGGCATTGTCCTGGCCCCAGTGTGTGGCAAGGCTGTAAGAATGGGGCTTCCTGGCTGCACCAGGCACCCTCTCCTCCCCCTGTCCCTGAGCCCCACAGCTGGGGCCCCTCCCCTGCCACACAGCTGCCTTGCTGTACCCTCATGACCCCTCCTCCCACCAGCCTCCAGCATCCCTAGCTCCTGTGGGGCTCAGGAGCCAATGTGTGCCAGACCCCAAGGGTCCACCCCAGTAGGTGGCCACCCCTCAGAGGTGGGTGGAGGCCTGCAAGGGGTGGGGAGTGGGTCAGAGGGAGCTCCCATGCCAGGTCGGCCCACCACCCGCTCCCAGCCCCCAGCTCCCGTCACGGAGCAGCACTCCACCGACCCCCCCAACATGGCTCACTAGGGGTAGAGACCCCATCTGCCCCCCCTTCACCGTCTTGTGCCCCTGGCCCTGCCTTCCCCTGCTCTTCTCAGCACCTGATGGTCACACAGACCGGGGAGGACACGGCTCCAGCCATGTCCCAGCAGCCCCGGTGAGCAGCCAAGAGCTGCGGGACGGGGCTGCTTCCTCTCAGACGGGGGATCCCCGGCCGGTAACCTTCACAGCCGCCAGGGCCCAGTGCGCCCGAGAGCCCCCCATGAGCACCTTCAGGTGGCGGAAGGTCAGGCCGGGGCTCTGGCCGCCATTGCGCCAGCTCTCGCGGTTGACCCGGTCCAGGATGGAGAGGCTGTCCAGGCGGTGGCCCGGGAAGGAGCCCAGTGCAGCGAGCAGCCTGGTGAGCAGGTAATCAGTGGAGACCCTGGGAGCCAGGACAGGCACACCACAGTCAGTCAGCATCGTGGCCTCAGCCAGGTATCAAGGGGCAGCCTGCACCCACAGCTTATGCCCAGAAAGGAAAGCCTCCAGCTTCTGTGGCCTCCCTGGGAGCAGAAGTTCATGAACCTTACAGCGTGGTCCAGGCCACGACAGGGGCCAGCCGGTTGCACCCAGCACCACCCCCCATGTTTCCCAGGCCTGCACTTTTTAGGCAGTCAAATGTGAAGGGTCGGTTTTCATGGAGACACCCAGGCCCCAGAACATGGAGGGTAGGGAACCTCCAGGCCATCTTGGCCCTTTTGTGTGGACAGGAAGGTGCCACTCTGACCTGCCCAGGGTGGGCCAGCGGTCCTGGTCCTCAGGCTGACACATCCACTCCATGCCCCATTTGGGAAGTCCAGCCTTCCCTGGGCAGCCACGCAAGAGCTCGGGGCATTTCATGGGGCATTGCACACCCGTGGTGCTCACATGTGCTTGCTGAGGCACCAAAGGGGTGGAACCTAAGGCCAGTGCCCCATGGGCCCCCCTGTTCTGTGGAGTCTCAGTCCCGGATGGCCATCCACCTGCACACCCAGAGTCTGGGTGGAGGGACATGGGATGGGCCATTCCCTGTTGGCCTGTACACGTGACCACTCAGCCTGCCTCCCTCTTCCTTCTCACAAGCCCAGACAAAGCCCTGCTTGGGCTGTGGGGCTCACAGGCACTCAGCGGAGCCTTTCACTGGGGCAGAAAACCACGGGAGGGCATAACCAGCTGGATGAATGTCACCCACTTCCAAGAATTACCTGTGAGAGCCACCCCCCCCCCCACTTCAACCCAGTGCCCTGTTCCCAGAAGCTCTGCCCCAGGGGTGGAAGCTGGTGGGGCGGGTCACCCAGCTCAAATCACAGCGACCCTGCCTGCAAGGTGCTGTTGAGGCCATGTCAGAGGTGGAGGGGGCTCAGTCTCCCGCCCTTGGTTTGGCGTCTCAAGGGCAGCTCAGCCTCTGCCCTGTGCCCCCTACTCTCTCCATCTCTCACACCAACTCGGGGTCTCCCTTTCCCTGCAGGTGCGAGTGAGGAAGGGGCCTCAGCACTTCAATGAGGGGATGGAGACTGGGGGCCCACAGGGGCTGCTGGGGCTCCAGGGCCAGGTGGGGAAGGGGGACCTGCAGCTAAGTGCCACAGGTGGGGGACACACCATATCTGTCTGGGAAGCTGCTAGCAAGTTCCTCTGGTCACCCTCACTGTGTGGGGCCCCCTCCCGACTGCTCCAGGAACCTGCAGGACCTGGACAAGTCACCGTTCTCTTTGCTGCTTTCCCACCTGCAACAAAGGGGTCGCGCTGGGTTGTGAGGGGCCCCTCCGGGACAGCCTCCTGCATTTCCTAGTTTCTCCTCCTGTCTCCTCACAGCCTGCCCCGGCACACCCTTCACGTGGGTCAGGGGCACAGCTCCACCCTCCCTGCAGCTCCAAGGGGGGTGAAGCCAGCAGTGGGGAGTGAGCATTCTGGCCAGATCCCACATCCCCCCCCCAGAGAGATCCCAGTGACATCCGATCCCTGCGGGGGGAGGGGCATCCCCTCAGAACCTCCTGCTCAGAGTGAGGGGAACAGTGGAGTGGCAGCCCCCTTCCTGCAGGCTCCCCAGGATCCCACAGACCCCAGGAGCTGTGTCCTACCTCCAGTGCTGGGCACCGGCTGGTACCAGGGCCACCTCTTGGCTGATGATCCTTTTCAAGCTGCCTTCAGGGAACCCGTGCATCAGCTGGGCCCCTTCCAGGGCGGGCACCCTGTGCTTTCTCCGTACCACGGGCACAACGTTGAAGCGGATGGTTCTCCAGCCACTGGACACCAGCAGGGACAGATGCAGCTCCTCCTCCCTCAGGCTGTCCACGTTCAGAGATCCTGCAATGACCGTGCCCTGGAGTCCCCACCTCAGGCTACCCCTCACACCTCTCAGAAGGGGCTGGGGAGGTGTAGGACAGGCCCACGATGGCCCACGATGGCCCAGGAGTAGCACACGTGCCCCTGAAGGCCTGGTGTCGGACGAGTGTGCTTGGTGTCCAGCACCCAGGAGGGCCTGGATCCGAGGGCTGACAGTGAGTGAGTCTGCCCTCCCTGGTTCCACTCCACAGCCTGGGTCCCCAGAACCACATCCCAGATGGCACATCGGAGTAAAGATATTTCCTGCCACCTCACCACTCAGATGTAGCCCCGTGCTGCTCCCCTAACCCAAAGCCCCCACACCACCCAGGAGGGGACATCCCAAGGGCGATGGGGCTGCGGGCTGGGGTGGTAGGGGTACTCTGGTATGACCCGGGGCCTTCTGGCCTTCTGCTTCAGTTGTCCCTTCCCCAAAAAAATATAAATACCACAGAGAAAGGAAGGGAAGCTGAACAGTGTGGGGGGCACTCATATCACTGGCCCTGACCAGCGCCAGCCAACCCTGGATTCAGAGCAGTCTCCCCTCCCCTCCCTCAGCACTGCCCAGTGAGGGTGCTGGCCAGAGGTCAGGGACCAACCATCGGGGAGACATGTCCCAAAGGGAGTCCCCAGGATATGCAATGGCGAAAGGTCTCCACAGGGACTAAGCTTGGGATGTGCATTCCCCCACTGTCCCACCCTGGCCCATCCGCAGCACTGGGGGTCTTGTAGGAAGGAGCCTGGCCCCCCTTTATGCAGACCCCTCCCCCAATCTCCTATAGGGTAGTTCTTGGGCCACTTCCTGGGACCTAGCCCAGAGCTAGGTCCTGCCACCTGGGCCACTCCATCCTCCCCCATGAGCCTCAGTTTCCCCATCAGTTAAAGGAAGAAAGCTTCAGTTTCCCCATCAGTTAAAGGAAGAAGGGAGTTCAGTGATCCCCGGCCCCTCCCAATTCAGGGTTTGAGCTACTGTTGGTGGCTTCATTTCCTTATCTACCATTGGTCCCAAATTCTGTCCACGGAGGTGGCTTGGAAGGCAGCCAGCCACACCCGCAGCCTGTCACAGCCACTCCCCGCCTTAGCCCCCAGCCTGGTCTCACCGGTTTGTTTCCCAGGGAAAGCAGCCTGACCTTGTCACCTGGAGCTGCTGTGCTTCCCTTTTAAGGTAAGTGTCAGGAAGCAATGCCTGGAATTTCCCTGCGTGCCCAACTCAGGCGGCCCCGGGTGTGGCTCCCAGGCTCCTCTGCTTTCTCAGCCTGGAAGCCGAGGGTGGTGGGGACCCCGGGACAGTGGAGAGGGGCAGCTCAGAGTGCGCCGGACGGCCCAGGGCTGGGCACACCCCCACAGGTGGGTCTGTCTCCCAGGAGGGGCACAGGGCCTGCAGGGGCAGGGCCAGGTGGGAATGACCACGCGAGGTCAGGGCAGCAGACGGACATGGCCCTGCCATAACTGAGAGGTTCAGAAGACGAGCAGAGAAGACATGGAAGGGGCCGGCGCTCTGGGCATGCCTAACGACAGGCTCCGGCTGCCCTACAAAGGTGGCCACTGGCCCCAGGTCACCGGGCAGTTCTGGGGAGGGGCCAGGGCTAGAAGTTGTCCCCTCTGAGTGTTGGAAGTCCATCCAAAGGCCGCTCTGAGCAGCCCGGGGCGGGTCACTGTCCCTGAGGTGGGCTGACCACCCCCATCCTCTGGCATCATGGCAGACACAAGGACCAGCCGCCACCATGGGCCTGTCCCTCCCAAGAGAGGCAGGACATTCTGTTTTGGTCCTCAGGCCCTGCCAGGACAACCCGATGTCTTTGCTCTGGTCCCGGGGAGGACGCCCTGCTGTCCTGAGCCCCACACCGGCGGTGCCTCTTTCCAGTGCTCTCAAAGTGCAGGCAGCCCCTGCTGGACAGAAGCCCACCGCTCGTGGGCCAGCCAGGAGCCCTGCCCCCCAGGGGCTCAGCACCCTGGTCATGCCAAGAAGGCACCCGGATGAGACACTGAGGCCAGACTCCAGCACAGAGCCTGCTCAGGGCCCAGGACACCAAGTAGCCACCAGACCATACCCTGAAACAAAACTGTGCACGTATGCACACACGTCCACACACTCGCATGCATGCACACTTCCACCTGCACACACTCACTATGCACACGTGTCCGGAATCCTGTATACACACACACCGTGTTCCCAGTGCCGCCGGACTTGGAGCTGCACACAGGGTCATCTGTAAGGACAACTGAGACTGACAACAGAAGCACCTGCCCAGACCTGTGGCCGGACCCGCATCCAGCAGGTCAGCAGGAAAACATTGCCCCAGCGGGTGTGTCGTTTCTAGCTCTTTCACAAGTAACAGCCAGTACACTGTGACCACCAAAGTCATCAGGTGACATGGAAGCGCATGACCCGTCCTCTAAGAAGTGTTTGGAGCCAGAAAGGACCTCAGAGCAGCATCCCTCAACTCGTGTGCCCTGACACACACGCCGAGAGACCAGTCTGTGCACACACACGTGCACATGCACACACGCACACATGCACGCACGCCCTGCCGTCACGCGTGTGCCCACAGTTGTTTGGCGGCTACCTGGTGTGATGAAGCTCTGGTGCTTGCAGTGCACAATGGCCGCCACCAGAAGGTCCTTGAGGACACGCAGGACCTTGCTGGGTACAATGTGGCCGCAGCACTTGCCACTACCCTCCGAAGAGACGCTAGAGATGTCCTCAGCCGTCCACTGCTCCAGGCTGGCCCCTTCCCTGGAGACACCCAGGCGGCAGGACGCGGGGCCATCCCCTGCCTCGGCGGCCCCCCACTCTTCAACAAGGAGGGCCTCAGCGTCCACCCACAGGGGCACCTCCATGTCCACTGGGTCCTCCGAGGAGCGCAGGGCGAACTGGAAGGCCTCCAGGTCACGGGAGTAGTCCACGAGGAAGCGAGGGTCCAGCTCATGCACGCGCTCCAGCAGCGTGAGCAGCACATTCTCCGCACGCTGGTAGTCCTGCACCCGGGGCGCCCCCCTCGAGCGGACGGCCTGCAGGTAGTGGTGCCACAGGGGTACCTGCACAGCCATGGCTGGGGCCAGGGCACGGGGGCAGCTTGCGAGGACTATGCTGAGGCTGGCTGTGTGCACAGGAGGAGGTGCCCGCCCAGCTGAGGAGCAGGTCCTCAGGTGGGGCCCCAGCTCCCCGCAGAGCAGAATTCCAGAGCTCCACCACAGGGCTAAATAGCTGGGCATGGCCCGGCCTTTCAAGTGGGGGTGAGTCAGTCACCAACCATTAGCAATGTCACTGGCAGCCTTGGGCAGGGGGCGGGGCCTGATCACCACCCCGCCTCGGCTCCTCCCTTCTGTCACACAGACTCCACCTCTCAGGCCCAAGGCACACTCAGGCTCAGGACAGCCCTGGAGAAATACCACAGTCAGACTGCTGCCCCTCCCAGGGCCCGGCCACCTCCCGCTGTACGGTCCCGGAGCTGGGGGCGGGGGGGCCTGTTCCTGGTGCCCCCATCCCCAGCTCTGTGGCATGTGGGCCTCCCCACCAGGTTGGGGGAAGACACATGGCAGCCCCATTGCTCAGATGACAAAGGTGAGGCCGGGTGGTGGCCTCCCCAGACCCCCCGTGTGGGAGCCCTGCTGCAGCTGCCTCTGCGGAGCCTGGAAGGCAGGGCGGGGGGCTGTGCTCCGTCAGCAACCTCAGCATTCCACTCAGGCACCGGAAAGCAGGGAGCCTCCCAGGTGGAGGGTCGCCTGCAGCCCCCCTGTGAATCCTGCCCCCTCTCCCTTCAGCGCTGCCCTTCCAACCCCCAAACCCAGGCCCTCATGCGGCCTGCCCCCCTCCCTGCGGGGCCTTCAGCCCAAGGGGAGCCCGCACCCACCTGGGTCTGCAGCTGGAGCGAGCCTGGCTCTAGGGGAAGTCTCCCCAGCTCCTCCTCACGGGGTGGAAAGCCTCGCCCTGCCGGCCCCCTCCAGCTCCGCACCAGGAGCCCTGCCCGGCCCAGCCTGTCTCCCTGCTCAGGCGGGCAAGTCCCAACCAGCCAGGGGGGAGCCGCCCCCGCTGACCCTTGGCCCTGCTGGGCTGGCCTTGTACGCTGGGTGCCCCCGCCAGAGTGTCTGCAAACAGTGAACTTGGAGATAGTCCCTAATAAGGTATCCTGGAGATGCCACCCTGCAGCCCTCAGGGAGCCTGCACCTCCACCCACGCATGGGCCTCAGACACCCAAAGCGGCAGGCAGAACCTAGATCCAAGGCACTCACTTCCTGGTGCTTGGAAGCCCCAGGAGCTGGGTCTCTCATTCCCCACCTCCCAGGACGGGGAGCTCACTACCTCACAGGGCAGCCCATAGCACTGTCAAACAAGAGACCGGTTTCCCTCCTCAGACCTGGCCCGGTCCTGTCCTCTGGGGTTACCCAGAGCACGTCTGTCCCTCTCCCAGGGCAGCCACTCAGTGTCAAGGACCCTGACGCCCTTGGCCTGCCTCCCACCCCACCCATACCATGTTCTGCTCCCCCGACACACTCTGCATGGCACTTCAGTCTTCATGGGACTCTGTAGGGAGGGGCGTTGCTGCAGAGCAGCTGGGTCCCGCTGTCCTGACCTCGGCCCTGGGTCACGGGGCCCTGTCTGTGCCTTGGCTCCTCCATCTGCGACCCAGCGATGTCATGTTCCTCCAGCTTCCTTGGACCTCAGGGCAATCCTGAATTGGCCCAGGAGAGCGGGCGGCCCCGCTTGTCAAAGTGCCCACTCTGGGCATGGCGCATCAGGGACCTCCGCCACTCGGGGCAGCCCGCATGTTGTGCACCCCACCCCCTGTCGTCTGGAGAGCTCTCCCCCTTGGCCCTGGCAGCTCCCTCCGCTGGGACAGGGACTCCGAAGTGCCCAAGGCCACTCATCCTCACACCCCCCCTCTGCTGGTCAGCTCACCCTCGCTGTTTCCATCACCACTCTCCGCTGACGCACGTTCCACGTCCCCAGCTCCTCGGGGCCCCAGGCCCTAGGCCCCACAGCAGCTCTGTGTCTGCCCTTGGACTTCCCACAGACCCCTCACACCCGGTGTCCTGCAAGGGCAGGGCCGGGAGAGAAGAAGCAGGTGCCACCCTGGCCCACTCGGCAGTGTCTGACCACAGACGAGCCACGGAATTCAGTGGCCTTGTAGACCCCCGGTCGGAGCGGTGAGTGACTGGGGTGGGCAGGGGCGTCGGCGCGGTGGGCAGCCAGTGAAGGAGTTTGCTGGCTGGCAGATGTGCCAACGACCAACGCATGTCTATGTAGCTTACACCTCCCGAGAGAGCTCAGGGCAAGCGTGCAGATCCTGTGTTTCTGGAGTTCCCGGATGTGCTGGAAAAGAGGGATCTGCACAGCCCACGAAGTGGACCGTGGGAGTCCGGCGGCAGACCCCACATGGCCTCGGCGTCGTGGGCATCGTCTGGCGGGACCATACTGGGTGGGCGCCGCTCAAAGCCCGTGGGCGAGCCTCCAGTGGGTGCTGGGACGGATCACCACGCTCGGGGCACTTAGAACAAGGCTATTCTCGGCGGGTCCTGGGGCCAGAAGTCCCAGATCAGGGCGTGGCAGGGCCCTGTTCCCCCCAGCACCTCTGGCGAGGATCCTTCCTGCCTCTTCCAGGCCCGTCTGTGCCGGCGTCCCCCCGGGGCCCCCTCGGTGTGTCTGTGTCATGTCCTGTGCCTCTGCCTTACAAGGGCCCCTGGAGGACAGTTGGGCTCCTGGGCACAGCCCCAGCCGATCCCACCTCACAATCCTCAACCCCGTCTCACCTGGGGCTCACTCTCTACCCGGTAATAGTCACAGGTTCATGGGCCCGGGAAGTGGCCACACTTCACGCCCAGCCCAGACCGCGTGTTGGAACGTCTTCCAGGAGGCCGCCACGCAGCTCCTGTGTTCATCAGCCCCCTCGGAGAGCGTGGGGCTGCCGCTCAGGTGACCCAGGCCTTCCTGTCCGGACCACCACCAGACACAGCTCTGGGCCAGCCTCCAGATGTGAAAGCAGATGCTGCCCGAGCTGCCCAGTGTGATACCCAGAAAGGGCCGGCGAGGTCTGAACCAGCCCCGGGTGCCTGGGGGGACCCCTCCCTCTATGCCCAGGGGCAGGCCATTCTCTCCAGGACCCCCTGGTCTCACTCAGCACACCTGTTGGAAGCTGCTCACGCTCACGGACACACAGAACGGTCAGACCTCAAGAGAAGACATGCCCAGGAGTGCTGTCCGTGAGACTCTGGGCGAGCCACTGGCCCGCCTGGCCCCAGAGCCCTCGGCGGAGCAATGAGGAATGAGCTCCCAAGACACGGCCACGTTCTGACAGTGACCGACAGCATCTTGGCCACCAGCTACCCAGAAACCAGCAACCCTTTCCGCATGATGCACCCCGTGGGCCAGCAAGTTCCCATGCGGCGTTCACACGGGAGCTGCTGAAATGAGTGGTCTGAATGTGGCCAGCCCCAGAGGGTCCCTCCCACACGTGGCTTCTGTGGGCTTTAGGCTGGAACAGCAATGCTTGCCAGGCTGCACACACCCGGTCCTGGCTCCCAGGGTGCCGGGGGCCCCACTGTCACCGGCAGCTCGGTGGTCACCGGCAGCCCTGTCACGGCCTAACTCTGGTTTGCGGCCCGACGACACGCAGGACACGCAGTCAAGGTGGACAGAATCTGACATGCATGTCTGACTGGCTGGGGACGTGGCTGTGAGCGCTCTTTCGTTGCTTCTGTGGAATATTCAAGCCCAACAGGCCCCGTATGTGTGTCTGCCATACCTGGCACTCCCTCTCCTTGCTTGACCCTGGAAAGGCTGCAGCGGCAGCTGGGAAATGAGGTGCCGCCCGCGCTCCCAGCCCTGGGGTCTTCCCCGGAGCCCTGCTGAGAAGGCCCCACTTCCTGTCCCAGCAGGCTCCAGCCTCGAGTCCAGGGCCGCGGGCCTCAGCCTCCACGTCTGTCCCTACCCCAGCAGGCTCCGGCCTCTGGTCCAGGGCCGCAGGCCTCAGGGCACAGACCCCGCAGCTGCCGTAGGTACTCTGTGGGGCACCAGGGCCCGCGGTCACTCAGGAAGGCTGCCCCAGGGGAGACGAGGCGGGGGCTGGCAAACTAAAAACCAGTGTGGGAGGGAGAAACAAGTCCCTTGCGGCTGATGGCAGCCCAGGTCACCGGGCTGTCCCTGAGCCGCTGTCTGACTGACTGGCCAGCAGGTGATGAGGTTTGCTGGATGTGTCCGGCCTGGGGTGGGGCAAGGAGCTAACCGACAGAGCGGGGAGGAGGACTCAGAGCACGCAAGGTCCCACGTGCTTCCACACAGGACCCTCGCCTGGCGGGGGGACCAGCTGGGCAGGAGCGACAATCCCGGTGGTGGGGGGCTTGCAGAGAAGGGAGCCAGGCCCTGGGAGGAGGGGTTCCCAGGCACCCGATGTGTGGCCACAGCCAGCCCCCCTGCCCAGCCTTCCCCCAGAGATTTCCCGCTTGGTGGGATCAGAGCGAGGAGACGGCTCTGGCCGTCGGCTTCCCCGCGGCTCCCACACGTCCACATCCCTGTCACTGGGCGCGACTCCCCACCGTCCGAGCACCAGTGGCACGTGGGACCGTCCGAGCACCAGTGGCACGTGGGCTTATGCTGCCCCTCGGTTTCTGGTGATTTCTTGAAGGCATCTTCTGTGGGCTCGCCGGACATGAGAGGCACAGAGCACAGGAGTTAAATCACTGCCCCTCGTCCCCCAGGTCCCAGGGGCTGCCCTCCTGACCCCCCACCCATCGCTGCCCAGGGGCCCTGCGGGTCTGCTCCCCCGCAGGCAGCCTCTCCCAGCGGCCCCAGTGCGGCCCTGCCTCCCCTGGTCTGGGGAGGACACGGGGGCCGTGCCGCCTGCCAAGGAGTCTGGGGCGGGGGGCTCGCTGCCCGGCCAGCTGCCTCCACTCGCAGAGACCGGCTCTGGCATAAAGGCCATCACCCCCTCCCACCTGCACCGCTCCATCAAGCCAAGGACACATGGGAGGTGACAGGGCAGCCGCCAGCAGGGGTGGTGGCACCAGGGTGATGGAGGGCGCTGAGGAGGCGCTGGGCAGGAAGCAGCAGACCTCCCTGTGGAAGGAACACGTGTGGTGGTGGCTGGGGTGGGAGGGTTCGTCTGTCGGCTGCGGGCTACTGTCCAGGTGTCTGTGGACACTCGGGGTCCCCCAAGGAGAAGCAGGTCGTGGGGCACAGACACACAGACAGTGACCGGTAGCCAGGGGCGCTCCCCCCA